TTCTTCAACCAGCTCGGCACCAGCACAGCTGGCATCATGAAGCAGGTTGTAGAGGATGAGCAGTCAAACGAGGAGCGACTGTCCCAGGACTTGGATATACACATGGGCAAGAGGCAGAAGGAAACCCACGTAGGGATCGAGGTGAGGACCAGGTTTATTTTTTAAATAGAGATATATATGCAATATTAAAATTATGATTAACAACCTCGGTGGTCTAGTCGTATAGCATACCGATTTACTATCCGATGGTCGCGGGTTCGATTTCTCGCACGGTACAAACATATATTCATGAGTATGATTGTTTGTATCGATCTGGGTGTTGTTGTTGTGTGTGTTATGTTATGTGTAATGTTATATTAAAAAAAAGAAAATATCCATGTATTTATATCAGTTGTTTAGCACCCATAATACAAGCTCTGCTTAGCTTGGGACTAGATGGCGTTGTGTGAATTGTCTTGACATATTATATTATATTATAGCCTATAGACTATATCCTTTCTCAGGGTCTTGACTATCTGTGTACTAAATTTCATTTAAATCGGTTCAGTATTATTGGTCTGAAAGCGCGAGAGTTATTTTTAATAACATTACTAACTGTTATATGTTATTCTAATGTATAAACTAAACTATAATATTAGTGTAAAGTGTGAACAACAACTCACCATGTTGAAATCCCAACTTGTAGATGGCAGGCTGCAGGTTGGTGACAAAATTTATTTGCTTTTTTACTAGATCGTCCTTAAAATGTCTGCATACATATCTAACATTCTAATGTATATATATACCAAGGTTAAGGTTGCCTGGAAGAGATCACTTTTTAGCGATAAGGCCGCCCATTGTTACCTCTTTGTCTTGTTTATTGTATTATATATTTTTTTTATCATTTTATACATAATTGTATATGTAAATGTATTTTCTGTGAGAGGAACAATAAAGAGTTTCATTCATTCATTCATTCATACCAAATTTTGTACCGTATATATTTTAGCTACCAAGCAGTTTGCTTTGTAGGTTGTTTCGATTGAATAACAGTGATATGACAGTGGATATTGGGAAGTTAATAATAATAATAGTAATATTTATTTAAAAAAAAACATTGTATAAACTAATATAAAACAAATATTTTTGAGGGTATACAGTTAAAAAGCATTACCTCCCGTGCTAATTAGATAACTGTGTTACGGAAAGAAGAATCTCGCACTATATATATATATACTATAGGGCTCATTTTTAAATGGGATATAAAACAGTTTTTATAACACAATGGCATCATACATATCTAATATTGTAATGTATATATTTACAGCGTATGTCTATTGGGCAATTGATAACAAGCAAAGAAGCTGTCACGTCAAGAACCCAGAATGGTGACTACCCTTCACCAGCTCTTGCGGATTTGAATCCTCATATAGAGGTATTAATACCAAGCCTGCTTCACGTTCTAACCAATTTTGTACTGTATATTTTAGCTACTGAGCAGTTTGCTTTGTATGTAGGTTGTTTCGATTGAATAATGGTGATATGCAGTGGACCTTGATTTTTAATTATTTTACAAATTACACTCCATAAATTGCGTCCTAGTATTCAAGTATATATGTACCTATTTGTTACTCTCTCACGCATAAACTACAGAACGAATTTTGATGAAACTTTACAGTAACATAGCTTATACACCAGAATAACATATAAATAGAATTGGAGTGTCTGTTTGTAATATTGAAATAACCGTTACTTACTACATGCATATGAATATAAAAACGGTACGTGTAACAAAATAACATTTTTGACCATTTTTGTCTGTCTGTCTGTCGGTCTGTTTGTTCCGGTTAATCTCTGAAGTGGCTGGACAGATTTTGTCGGGACCTTTTTTGGCAGGTAGCTGATGTAATAAGGAGTAACTTAGGCTACTTTTATTTTTGAAAAATAAAGTTATATTCCACGCGGACGAAGTCGCGGGAACAGCTAGTAGGCTATAAATTTCATGCGGTTGAAACCGCAGTCACAGCTAGTATTACAATCAATACTAATTTAATTATTTATTTACATATTGTAGAAGAAGCAGTGGAACGAGCTGCCATCTACCAATCAATGGCGAAACCAATCAAGTTCTATGCCGCATAAAGTGAGCTTTGTAATTATTTTTATCATTAGAATAAAATCATAAAAAAGTTGATAATAATGTATATTAACGCCATTGTTAGCAATGCACCATGTCAGGGTGAAATATAAAAGGAAGTCGCTTCCGCTATCTGTCTGTCTCTTTTAATCTATGCAAGGAAATTTAATGCAGTTTTTAACAATATATAAATTGATTCAATACATGCACACCTGTGCTAGAATAGAATAGAAAATCATTTATTCAAATAAACTTAATTTAAGCACTTTCGAATAGTCATAGTTAAACTCGGTAGCTTAGTATTCTAGAGAGCGACACACAAGTTTCTTGTTTATTCTTCTTGTGATGAATCTGCATTCCGAATAAGCGGTAGAATAAAAAAACTTGACTATTCAAAAGTGCTTATATTAAGTTTATTTGAATACAGATAATTTCTATTTCTATTTCTACAAAAATATAAACATACTTTCAACATTTTTTTTCATTGACCTATGTTATATGTCATGTTCACAGGAAATATTACAAGCTCATTCAAGTATAGGTTCGTGGGTAAGTTTTATTTTAGAACATACGGGTATGTATCACCTTCCAGCAATGGTATTTCCGAACCGATACGATATTGAAACCTTCAAGAAAAGAGCTTATTCCTTTTTAAAAGGCCGACAACGTACTTGCAATTCACCTGGTGTTACGGGTGATCATGGGCGGCGGTAATCACTTAACATCAGGTGAGCCGCATGCTCGTTTATAAAAAAAATGTATATTTATCTTAGACAATAGACAAACTTAGCGTTCCATATATTCACCATACTGGATACAATAACCTACTTTATTTAAAGGCATTTTCCTCAAGTACAAATTATTTTGCTTTCGTAGAAGAACCTGCTAACGCAACGTCGCGGTCAGAAGTCACAACGCGTTAGTATCCGGGTCAGTTTATAGTATTTTATTATTGGGAGGTTTGAGCTGTTCTCAGATGCTAAGACCTGTAGTACTGCTATCTGTATCTGAGGGGGACAGCATTTTAAATTTTTTGCCCCGCCTCGAAACAAATGAAGATCCGGGGCTGCCAAGACCTGTTGCTACAGGTCGCAGTGCTACAGTTACTGTACTTGCACAGTGCTCTACGACCTACATAGATCTATTGTGCTCGCCCTTTTCAAAGTTCGCTACCTAGACCTGTCAGAGACAAGAATTGAAGGATATTCTTAGGAGCGATGGATTTTATCTCTTCAGGATATATTGTATACTTTCCAAAGGAGATATTTCGTTTATAGTATAGTCTGTTTTTGTATATATTAATAATAATAATCTCATTGGTTTACCATAGTTTTTTTTTAATCTATGATAATGGTGTACACCCGCCTACGCTAACTGTTTAAGCTGGTGGGGCACCAGTGGAGCACGATAGGATGAACATGTGGTCAAGTCAGTTAGCCCATCGTGATAACTTCACCAAGCATTTATCAGGATGGTTTCCAGGGGTGACTGCGTGGTTAACCTGACATGGTACATTGCTAGCTATGAGGTTATAAACCACAATACTAACTTCCCCCATGCTGGTTAGGTTGGATCTCATACAAGTTACATAAAAAAACATTGATTTATATATTTAACAAGCTGCTCCCGCGACTTCGTCCGCGTGGAATTTAACTTTATTTTTCTAAAATAAAAGTAGCCTAAGTTACTCCTTATTATATCAGCTACCTGCCAAAAAAAGTCCCGTCAAAATCGGTCCAGCCATTTCAGAGATTAGCCGGAACAAAAAGACAGACAAAAATTCTAAAAAAAAATATTTTGGTGTATGTACCGTATTTATATTCATATACATGTAGTAAACAACGGTTATTACAGTATTACAAACAGACACTCTAATTTTATTTATATATATTATAGTTTAATATTCCTTTCAGAAAACACATGCGAATGATAAACAAAATGACTTCACGCAAGCGCTTCTGAAAAAGGAAGTAGCGAAAAGATACTGTAAGTATTTTGTGCACTGTTTTGACGGGGTACCGGGTTCATGTCTGGGTCGGATTAGTTTAATATCAAACGCTATAAGAACTTAACACCTACCGTGACATTTCAAAAGTAACGGTGATTAATTACCCCACCACTATCAATTTGAATTTACCTCGGTGATCTAGCGGTTTAGCACACCTCCATAGTTTCGATAGTCGTGGGTTCGATTCCTGTATTCATGACTATGATTGTTTGTATCGGTCTAGGTGTTTTCAATATATATTAATTATTAATTTCCAAATAAATATGTGTATATATTTCTATCAGTTATTTTTTTTCTCAGGACAGTTCACACTGCGCCATCTAGACCCAAGTTAAGTTAGAATTAGCTTGTGTTATGAGTACTAGATAACTGATACATATACATAGATTTTTTTTTAAAAACATACATATTATACATAGAAAAGGCCGATACAAACAATCATACTCATGAATACAAATGTTTGTGCCGTGCGAGGAATAGAACCCGCGACCGTCGGTCGTAAAGCGGTGTGCTCACCACTAGACCACCGAGGTCGTCTAGCGGTGGTTAGTACCTAATTTTTAAAGTATAGGGAATAACGGACCTTGTCGTAAATTATTAAATAATTTTACAGATTCATATATCGTACTGCGTGTAACTATTGTGAATTTAGGGACTACTCGTGTTTGGGATTGCAGATCTTTTCTCCTAGTACTATCACGGATGAATCTTTCTTCGTTAGTCTCTATCTGAATTTAGTTTTTCATCAAATTACAACACTATTAAAATTTATAACTCTGAAATAATTCTTACATGAATCTCTTTGTGGAATGCATGTAAAAATGTATTTTTTTATGTATACAAACTCAATTATACCCATATTACAAACAGCTAAATCATCCCACAAGAGCGTCCCGGTGTCACAATTGCCTGCCATTCAAATCGAGGAGCCACCGGAATTAGGTAAAGATGTTCATCATTACATTGTATAAAACAAAGTCACTGTCGCTGTCTGTCCGTCCCTATATATACTTAAATATTTAAAACTACGCAACGGATTTTGAAGCGGTTTTGTTTAATATAGAGTGATTCTAGAGGAAGGTTTCTATATATAATACATGTATGCCCATGCGAAGCCGGGGCGAGTAGCTAGTTCTGTATAAGGCATTTGGTTTTTAAGAGCTAGGGTTGTTATGTGTGCCTGGTACTCCTTACTGCTTCCTCAGTAAAAACACTCATGGTGTTTTAAACGTAACTGATGTGTTTTTTAGTATTTATTTTTTCACCCGCATGAAATGTATAGCCTATATGTTATTCTGATGTATAAGCTATATTATTGTAAAGTTTCATCAAAATCCGTTCAGTAGTTTTGGCTTGAAAGAGTAACAAACATCCATTCGTATTCACAAACTTTTACGTTTGTAATATTAGTGTAGGATTTGGATTATCTATACATATAAATAAAATTGAGGTGTTTGTTTGTAATATTGAAATAACCGTTTTTACTACATGCATAAATACGGTACATATACCAAAATAACACTTTTTACAATTTTTGTGTGTCTTTTCTGTTTGTTCCGGCTAATCTCTGAAATGGCTGAATCGATTTTGACGGGACTTTTTTGGCAGGTAGCTGATATAATAAAAAGCAACTTAGGCTACTTTTATTTTAGAAAAATTAAGGTAAATTCCATATATATATATAAATAGCTGGACCGATTTTAACGGGACTTTTATTGGCAGGTACCTATTGTAATGAGGAGTAACTTAGCATACTTTTATTCTAGAAAAATAAACTTAAATTCCACTCGGACGAAGACGCGGGTACAGCTAGTTAAAAATAAATACGTATTAAAAGGTGTTAAACTAACTAAATTCGTAATTATCACCAAGACGAAAGAAGAAAGGCGCTAATTGGAGCTTTTACTTTCAGAAAGTTACATCAGTCGATATTGAAAAAATTATAAGTAAATTAAATTCTAGAAAGTCTCCAGGAGCAGATGGAATTAGAGTAATAGATTTAAAGTATATTAAAAAATTAATTAGTCCAGTTCTGGCCAAATTTATAAATGTAAGTTTACAGACAGGCATGTACCCAGATTTACTGAAAAAATCCATTATACGTCCATTATTTAAGCAAGGAAGTCATGCAGAATATAATAATTATAGACCTATTGCAATTTTGTCGTCTATAAATAAAATAGTAGAAAAAATATTTGTGACAAGGATTAGTGATTTTTTAGAAGGTAATAATATATTAACAGATACACAGCATGGGTTTAGAAAATCATATAGTACAGCTACAGCTATTGGCAAATTTAGTGATCAAATAAATAGTCACCTAGATAATAGGAAATATGTAGGAGTCCTCTTTATAGATTTCAAAAAGGCATTTGATACCCTGGACCACGGACAGCTACTGGAGGCAATGAGAGAATGTGGAATCCGTGGTCCAGTAAACGAATGGTTCCGAAATTATTTAGATAACAGAAAACTGTTCACTGTAATTAATGCTACAGCCGGTCAGGAATTTTATATGAAAAGTGGTGTGCCTACTGGTTCGGTATACGGGCCTGTTGGTTATACCATGCACGTAAATAGTATGATTAACGTAATAAATTATTGTACGACATATATGTACGCAGACGATACGTGTTTGATATATGCAGATAGAGATATCGAAAGTATTGAAAAATGTATACAGTCCGACCTGGAAAACATTTTGATGTGGTCCCATGACAATGGTATATTATTGAATGTATCTAAAACTAAATGTATGCTTGTACATTCTCCATATATGAAAGATATTAACAAGTCAATTAGAATAGTCGGCCACTCGTATCAATGTCTTCACAATAGTAAAATACAATGTAATTGTGAACATATCGAGATGGTGAATGAATATAAATATTTAGGGATCACAATAGACTGTAGTTTTAGCTGGAAAATACATATAAACAATATATGTAATAAATTAAGATATGTTTTGTGTAAGTTCATCCAGCTTAAATATGTAGTTAGTAGGTCGATATTGTTTTCCTTTTATTGGGCATTGGCAGACGCGGTATTAAGTTATGGTCTGGCGGCGTATGGTTGTACCTTTCGTACCTATCTTGATAAATTGTATAACATACAAATACGTTTTTTGAAACACTTAGTAGATACGGAATTTAAAAAGAAATGTAAAGGAAACTACAATTTGTTATTCACAAAATGTAATATTCTCCCTATACATGAAAAAGTTACTTTACTATTGGCATTAGAACAATACCAATGCAATAAGTATAAGGTTAAAAAAACAACTGAGTATAGTATGAGACATACAACTATAAATAAGTATATTGAACCGGTGGTATGCAACTATTATGGTGAGAGAACAAGAAGGTACATTACTCCACGAATATTTAATAAAATTTATAATGAAAACGATTGTTCAAGTAAAGAAATATTTAAATTTAAATTGAAAAGATGGTTACTCGAAAAAGTGCATTAGTATAAGTTCTATATTATAGTTAAATTGTAAATTAGATATAAGTAAAAATGAGTGTCCTTATTCGCCAACAAACTGCAAAGCAGTTTGGCGATAATTGTAAAAACAAATTGTGTATATGTAATACTTATAAATAAATAAAAAAAAAAAAAATCATATATTACTCTATGATACAGGCACACGTAAGGTGTCAGAGACAACGAAGAAGTCTGTGACCATACTTCCGGAGTACTCGGAATTTGGCCTCGCCATACCAGAAAAGGTATGTACAGAAACGTTATTTCATAAAAAAATTTAATAAAATAAAAATAAGAAATAGAGATTGTCTTGTACTCGTAAGACAAGCTCTATTTCTTATTTTTATTTTATACAATTTATACACATATACACAAAGACCTCGTCCACTTCTAGTCCTATCACTTACAGAGCCATGCTGTTGAAAACGCTTCACTAAGTTCCTTATTGCAGGCCTACTAGGGGGATGTCGAACATTAAAATGGCGCATATACGATCTTTGCGTTGCAACAATTGACCATCCATTTTCAAAGTAAAATACAATTATCTTCACTCGTTGTTCTGTTGTAAACTTATCCATGATAAAAATTTCCAGGGATTATATTTTTTAATTCTGAAAAGATCAAAAGAAATATATTAATAGAAAAAAAGTTATTTAATATTCAAAATGTAAAGTGACCTCTGGGCCACCCTGTACTTAGATATTTTATCTTTGTAAATACATACATAACATATAAATAAAACACTCAAACCGATACAAACAAATCTCATCAATACATATGGACGGTGCGAGGAATCTAACCCGCGACTATCGGAAGTAAAGAAGTGTGTTAAACCGCTCTACTTCCGGTGGTCACAAGTTCACCAAGGCCGACAAAACATCAAACAAAAATTATATAAAAACTCTATTTGCCTCAAGGACAGTGACACACTAAGATCTGAAGACGGCCGTGGACAGGGTATTGACATAACAGTCCTCTGGTTGGCTCTCAATGAGGAATGCGAAGCTACGACCAATAACAACGTGCAGCGTTTGTACGTCGCGTACAGTTTCCTGGGCCGCAGTGGTGCCGACCTGGAAACGCCCGTGAGCTTGCCGAAACCAAATAATTATGTGGATAAGTGTGTCTTCAACTTTAGAAAATGTTAGTATTTCATTTACTTAGTCTCTTGTTATAAGAACGTGCAGTGTTTGGACGTCGCGTACAGTTTCCTGGGCCGCAGCGGAGCTGAGTTAGAAACGCCCGTTAGCTAGCCCAAACCGAAGAGATACGTGGATAAGTGTGTATTCAACTTTAGAAAATGTTAGTATTTCATTTACTTAGTCTCTTGTAATAAGAACGTGCAGTGTTTGTACGTCTCGTACAGTTTCCTGGGCCGCAGCGGAGCTGAGTTAGAAACGCCCGTTAGCTAGCCCAAACCGAAGAGATACGTGGATAAGTGTGTATTCAACTTTAGAAAATGTTAGTATTTCATTTACTTAGTCTCTTGTTATAAGAACGTGCAGTGTTTGGACGTCGCGTACAGTTTCCTGGGCCGCAGCGGAGCTGAGTTAGAAACGCCCGTTAGCTAGCCCAAACCGAAGAGATACGTGGATAAGTGTGTATTCAACTTTAGAAAATGTTAGTATTTCATTTACTTAGTCTCTTGTAATAAGAACGTGCAGTGTTTGTACGTCTCGTACAGTTTCCTGGGCCGCAGCGGAGCTGAGTTAGAATCGCCCGTTAGCTAGCCCAAACCGAAGAGATACGTGGATAAGTGTGTATTCAACTTTAGAAAATGTTAGTATTTCATTTACTTACATCTTAGTGTCTTGTAATAAGAACGAACGGCGTTTGTACGTCGCGTACAGATTCCTGGGCCGCAGGGGTGCTCAACTGGAAACGTCCGTGAGCTTCCCCAAAGCGAAGTGCTACGTGGATAAGTGTGTATTCTACTTTATAAAATGTTAGTATTTCATTTACTTACATCTTAGTGTCTTGTAATAAGAACGAACGGCGTTTGTACGTCGCGTACAGATTCCTGGGCCGCAGGGGTGCTCAACTGGAAACGTCCGTGAGCTTCCCCAAAGCGAAGTGCTACGTGGATAAGTGTGTATTCTACTTTATAAAATGTTAGTCTTTCATTTCTATATATGTCTGTGTTAGTTATTTCGAGCCATTTCTTATAATCTATACTAATATTATAAAGCTGAAGAGTTTATTTGTTTGAACGCGTCAATCTCAGGAACTACTGGTTCGAATTTAAAAATTATTTTTATGTTGGATAGGCCATTTGTCGAGAAAGGCTTTAAGCTAAGAAAAATATTGCAAAAACGGGGAAAATTAAAAGATTTTGATAACCACGCGAACGAAGTCTCGGGTACAGCTAGTAATATATGGCACAACGTAATGAAATTCCGTATTAGAAATGGGTTTATCCCGGTCTTAGTTGTGCCTGAGGGGAAGCTGCAAGTAGTGAAGGTGAGTGTTAATGCATTCTAAAAGGGCCTTTTAAACCTACACCCGTGTCACAAGTCACGGGAGCTACTTGGGGTTTCCCTTGCGGTACCCGGCTTCAAAATGAACTCTAACCACACGGAGTCGAGGAAGATATGTAGTTCGGCGCTAAACCTCTCTCTCGAACTCTTTTATTTCACATTACACATTAAATTTGAATTTTGAGCTGCGTTTAGAATGGTGCAGGTAAGTATCCAATCAGTCAATCAAACAAGTCATTTCATAGTGATTTCATTGGTCACACTAATAGTGCATGACTTACCGAGAAGAGCGGGACACCCACCCACTCAAAGCCTAAGTCGTCATCATTATTAGTGCTTCTTACATTACGGTGATTACTTATTGTGCTTACATTTGCAGTCAGATTATTTGCCATTCGAGTTTCATAGACAATATATGTGATGTAAGGTAGGCATGGAGATCCTAGCTCATTTGAAGAGACAGTTTTTCTTAGCTCGTAAGCAACTGATGGTAGATGTAACATATAAGAGTCTGAATAGACCTACATGAGTAAAGAATAAAGATATTTTTATCTTAAACTTAATCTAAATATATATATATTTTTTTTTATTTATTTATTTACTTAATACAAAAAACATGTGTACTAATTTACTGAAGAAACGATGATATTCACAGAAGTATAGAATTGTGTTGCGAATATCGACGCCCTCTCTCTGTTACTCTTTCACGCAAAAACTAATGAACTGATTTTGCTGAAACTGTACAGTAATATAGTTTATGCATCAGAATAACACATAGGTTATATTTTTTACTAGCTCTACACGCGACTGCGAACGCGTGGAATTTAACTTTATTTTTCTAAAACAAAAGTAGCCTAAGTTACTCCTTATTACCTACCTGCCAAATATGTCCCGTCAAAATCGATCCAGCCATTTCAGAGATTAGCCGGAACATACAGTCTGACAGACAGACAAAAATTGTAAAAAGTGTTATTGTGGTGTATGTACCGTATTTATATTCTTGTAGTAAATAACTGTTATTTCAATATTACAAACAGACACTCCAATTTTATTTATATGTATAGATTGAAATTTAACGTCGATGAAATCTCGGGCACAGGTAATGAATAATAATTTTTTTGCTTGATAGCATTTCAGTTGAGCGACTGCGATCTACCTTTGTTGGGGTATATGGCCAGATGTAGGTCCGGAAACAGACGCAGACACGATCCCAGAGATTGCATCGTGTTCGCAGTGATCAGCGAGCCCCCAGAAGACCCGCTAGGTTTGGATAGCTGCGAAGATATTGGGTATGTAGCTGTATAATAAAAATAACTAAAACCAAAATTAAAATAACAATACTCATAGCGCCATCTAGTTCTACATATATATGTATCTACTACTACATTGTATATTATGTAGATGTATGTGTATGTACAATTTTATAACCTTTTTTGCATCGCCAGCAACTTATCTCTGCACAACTCATGGTTGACTGGTAGAAAATGCCATTAGGTGTGTTACCGCCAACGGCAACCGGGGGGAGGGGGAGGGGAGCGGGAGGGAATGTTAGTAATGAGGACTGGTGACTCCATTGCTAGCAATGTACCATGTCAGGTTGAGCTCCTCGCGGTTCCCCCCGTGATAAATTCCTAATTAATTTGTCTCTGACCTGACCTCATGTTCATCTTGTCATCCTCCACTGGTGCCTCGCCAGCATAAATCGTTAGCATAAATAGTCAGGTGCACCATTCCATCATCATGCCTAATAAAACGGGAACCATTCGCCAGCGTGCCCCGCTAAAGCAGATTTCAGCGACTACAACGCCATCTGGTTTGAGTGAGATAACCACCACAATATATTTTTTATGATAAATATTATTTATGCTTATAAACTGTAAAGTAAATATATAAATAGTAAAGATTATATCTAATCATATATGACATGCAATATATGGTCCAGAAGTTTGATATAATAATGTTTATTATTGAGTACAAGATATAAGTTCTGATTTGACCATAACAGTCCCAACCTACCTACTGACTTTAAAAAGAACCACCATATTGTGTGCACAATAATAGAAATAGAAATAATCTTTATTCAAATAAACTTAATATAAGCACTTTTGAATAGTCAAGTTTTTTTATTCTACCGCTTATTCGGAATGCAGATTCATCACAAGAAGAATAAGCAAGAAACTTGTGTGTTTTTTTTTTTTTTTTATTGGGTTGTTTGGGCTATTGTCAGATGTGTAGCACCTGTAGCACTGCGACCTACATAGATCTATTGTGCTCGCCCTTTTCAGAGTTCGCTACCTAGACCCGTCAGGGACAAGAATTGAAGGATATTCTTAGGAGCGATCGTTTTTATCTCCTCGGGAAAGAGTGTAAACTTTCCAAAGGAGATATTTCGTTTATGCATGAGTGGGCTACAACCACATAGGATGTGAAGCGGCGTTTCCTCTTCAGTTTGGCAGAATCTGCAGATACTTGTCGTGCATAGGCCTAGCTTAGCCATATGCTTGTTCAATTTGCAGTGTCCTGTGAGGGCCCTAGTCATCATGCATATGTTGTTTTTACTCAATTGTAGTAATCTATTGGAGTATTTGGTCGAGAAGCCCGATATAAGGTCTTTTGAATGTATTAATCCTGGCATTTCTTGCCAGTGATTCAGTGCTTCTCGTTTGGTTATTAATTTGAGATGTCCCAGTTTTAGGCAACGAGGCACACCACAGAAGGGTTCGGGGCCCAGTTGGACGGTTTTTGCCCCTAACTTTGCCAGATGGTCGGCATTCTCATTGCCTTCAATATTTGAATGCCCGGGGACCCATCTCAGTATAATATTATTTCTGCTTCCTACTTCATTTAGTAGCAGGATACAGTTTCTAATAAGTTTAGAACGGATTTCGTACGAGTTAAGTGCTAGTAGAGCAGCTTGACTGTCCGAATAAATGTATATGTTCTGATTGATGTAGTTGAGGCTTAGGATTACTTCCAGACATCTAATTAAGGCATAAGTCTCTGCCTGAAAGATTGAGGCGTATTTTCCTAAGCCTATATAGTTGCAGATTTTGGGTTTTACACCACATATTCCACATCCTACATCATCTCCTATTTTGGACCCGTCTGTAAACCAGACTAGGTCATGCTCTGAGTGAGACGGTGTATGGTTATTTTGCCATTCGTCTCTTCCAGATATTTCGATTTTGTAATATTGTACAAAGTTACACTCTGGTGCCATATTGTCTTCAGGCATTCCCAGAATAGGATCACTCATAATCGAGTCTTGTATAGTTTTTATGGCCAGGGAATGCCAAGATATCCTCCTTTGGGAACTTATTCTGAGCATATTGGCTTTCGCCTTTTCCTGTATGAATAGAGGAAGGGGCGTCAAGTCCAATAATGCGTCTAGAGCTGCTCCCGGCGTGGTGCTCATGGCTCCTGTAATAATCAGACAAGCAATTCTCTGTAGGCTGTTTAGCTTGGTGGCAGCTGTGGATTGGAGGGTTTTCCTCCACCAGATTGCGCAGGCATAGGTGGTAAGTGGTCTCACCACTGCTGTATAAAGCCATAGGGCAATTTTGGGGTTGATTCCCCATCTGGGCCCCGCTACCCGTCGGCTTATACCTAGGGATGTTTTCGCCTTTTGAGTTATGTTGTCTATGTGTGTGTTCCATGTCAGTTTTTGGTCGAAGGTTACGCCCAGGTACTTGACTTCTTTGGAGCACTCTAATATTCTTCCATTTACTTTAGGCATGACAAGTTTGTCAAGTTTCTTCCTTTTTGTAAACGGAACAATTACTGTTTTATCAGGATTTACTGATAATTCATTTTCCTTACACCATTTAACTATGATGTTTAGTGCTCTTTGGATGCGGTCTGATATTGTTGTTGCACAGAACCCTCTGACCATGACTACTAAATCGTCTGCGTAGCCTTGTACCTCAAATTGGTTTTTGGTCATAACATCTAAGAGCTGGTCTACCGTTAGTAGCCACAGCAGTGGCGATAAAACGCCTCCTTGAGGGCATCCTTTGGTAGGTCGGATTTCTAACGTACTGTTGTGAAGAGTAGTTTTAATGGTTCGATTTGAGAGCATTGCTTTGATCCATTGAGTGGTGGTTTCATCCACTTTCTTGCGGATGAGTCCCTGTGAGATGGTCTCTATGGGCGTGTTATCAAAAGCACCCTCAATATCGAGAAATGCACATAGAGCTATTTGTTTGTCCTCAAAGGCCTTCTCGACCTTGTCGGTGAGTTCGAGCAAGGCGGTCTCTGTGGAATGTCCCTTGCGGTAGGCATGTTGATTCCTGTGCAGAGGAGCATTTTCGAGGATTGTAGCTCTAATGTGTTGGTCCAGAACCTTTTCCATGGTTTTTATTATGAAAGAGGTTAGGCTTATAGGTCTGTGAGACTTTGGCTGCGAGTAGTCTCTTCGACCGGTTTTCGGTACGTAGGTAACTTTGACCTTCGTTAATGGTTCTGGTATAAAACCCCAGGCAAAGCTGGCTCTAAATATTCTTACCAGATAGGGAGATAGGATGTCAAGCCCTTGTTGTAACAGGGCTGGGAAAATTCCATCTTCTCCCGATGATTTATATGGCTTGAAAGATTTTATAGCCCATATAATTTGTTTTGGTCGAAAAATCCTCGCAGCTCTGTTCCACGCCTCATGGTTGGGCTTTTGTAGATGTGAGCTTGGAGGGTTCTCCTTATCTCTTGAGATATGAACCGAGCCAGGGAAGTGGGTTGTAGATAGCAGCTGTAGAGTTTCTTCCTCTGATGTCGTATAGGTACCATTGGGCCTTTTCATAAGTCCAATTTGGTTATTTGGCGCCTTGGCAAGCATTTTGTGTAATCTGGATCCTTGGGGAGTCTGAGTTATCTCCTCGCAGAAAGCATGCCATGATGCTCTTTTGGCTTTCCTAATTTCGCAGTAGTATTCCGTTTGGGCTTTACTATATTGGGCCCATTCGAAAGGTCCCTTTTTAGCCCTGTTGGATAATTTGCGAGTTTTCTTCCTCAGCTTTTCTAGACTCTTATTCCACCAGGGTGTTTTACATTTGGCGGTTTTGGTTTTGATGGGACAGTTGTTCTGGTAGGCACTTATTATGCCACTTAGAAGTATGTCCACAGCGAGTTCTAGTTCTAGAGGAGATTTGATACTCTTCGGAAGGTCCGCAATTAGGCTTGTAAGACTGTCTCTGTATTTAGGCCAATCTGTAGCCTTTGGGTTTCTGTAGAGTATGGGGTTTGAGTCTGTTGCAGCCTCAATTGTGAATCTGATGTGCTTGTGATCAGACATGGAGTTCTCATTGCTGACATGCCAATGAGTGATATATTCGGCCAGTTTGTCGGTCGCGAGTGTTATATCTAGTACCTCTTGTCTTGTGGCAGTGACGAACGTCGGTGTGCACCCTGTATTTAGGATTTGAAGACAGTTGGTTAGTATAAAATCATCAAGTGACTTACCTCTGGTGTTGATGTCAGAGCTTCCCCAGTTTGTGTGATGGGCGTTTGCATCGCAGCCCACGAGGAGTTCGGCCTTGTGCTTACGGGCGTATTCCACCACAGGCTGTAGGCCGGTTGTCGGGTCTTTGATGATTTTGTTGTTTTCATCATGTCCAGGTAGGTATGCAGAGCAGACCAGTACTTTTGACCCTGTGCATCCAGGGAAATTGACGAAGGCTGTCACTAGGTCATCTGTACATAGTTCTGGAACAGTCAGAAAATCTAGTTTCTTATTAAAAAGAATGCATGCTCTAGGTTTAGTGCCAGTGGTATTAAAAAGAATATTACCTGAGGCATTGAGGCCTAAAGGCGTGGCTTTGTTGAGCCATGGCTCTTGTATCAGAGCAAGGTCCAGGTCGTTTTTGCGGAAGAGGTTTTCTATGACCGCTGTTGCTGCCATAGCATGATGTAAGTTGACCTGGACAATGTTGGCTCTGATACATTGCTTGCGTGTGGGCGTGTTAGCAGCTTCCTTTCGCCTTCCCTGTGGGACGTGGGCGTCCCTTTGGGTTGCGATTGGAAGCTGTGGCGCTCCTGCCGCGATCTTTCCGTCCCGTCTTAAAACTGGGGATCCTCGTCTGCGAGGTCCCCTTTGGCTGGGGAAAGCTGCCTCTGGCGGGTTTGGCGTTGGTGTCTACGCCCTTCGCCGCTTCGGATGGTGTGGGTATTCCTGTGGCAGATCTTCCATTACCGTCCGAAGTAGGCTGCTGTGTAGGCGTGGAGATCCCCTTGACCCGCAACAGGACCTTTTTAAAGCCAAGGTTGACTTTATAGTCCTGTGTTCTGAGGAAGTCAACCGAAGGCTCGTCCAGAGATACGGTCAGGACTGTACCGTTCTCTTCAGCCTTACGGTTGAGTATTTTCCACAGTTCGGAATTTAGGCAGTCATTTTGGGACTTCAGCATTCTGAGTGCCTCATCGACCGACCTTGTCTCCGAACTGGGGATGAAGGCCGTTCCAATGGCTGGTTTGGGCATCGCTCTCTCGTCCAACACAGAGAGTTCTGCGTCGGCCCAGGGTTTTAGGGAGGGCGTTATGCTCTCCAGCCATATTTTGGTCGGCTCATTCTGGCAAGTGATTAGCAGCCAACCAGGTTTGAAACTGCAACCTACAAATCGAGGGCCCTTCCCAGCTTCCGTGATCTTGCCAACTTCCCGGAGAACTGAGGAGCGCACCATGCTCATCATTTCGTCCGTCATTGGGGCCGTGTGTCGGATCCCCACTCGGAACGATTTGAGAGCATCCTTATAGGTTGCAGTTTCCTCCTTTGCGTTTACGTTCGTCCCTGTAGTCGTTACGCGCTGCTTGGGTGCAGGCGTTCGCAACTGGTGGGCCGTATTCGTAGAGCGCTTAGTTGAGCTACTAGTGACACTTGTTGGTGCAAACACCATTGGGCTTGAAGAGCCACCTGGTGTCGCAAGTGCCTGGTATGTGACTCTAGGTGTCTGAGGTACAGTAGGCGCTGGTGACTTTGCAGTCTCCGCTGCCTGGGTACCTTTCCCGGTGGGCGTCGGCTGCGCCACGCGAGGCGCTTTGTGCGTATGCTCCTTTGGGGACACCTCCTCTGACCGTGGGCGCTTGATGGATCTTACCTCTGAGGGCTGGTCTCGCATTGGCTTCCGGCAGAGTTCTAAAGCTTCATCAGCCTTGATGTTGGCGGCTATTAACAGTTTTAGGCGTTTCCGCGCTGCTCCTGTTAACCTCCTTCGTTTTGGTTTTGGCTTTGAGTCCTTTTTGGGCGTTAGACCTAGGTCATCCGTCCCTGTAGGCTCAACAACCATCTCCAAACAGTTTCCGTCATCGGATGAAAGTTCTTGGCGTTCATTTTCGTCCAAGGTACTTCCTTCAAGCAGTTTCTCAATGTCATCGATGATGTCCATATTGTGAGAATATTTAAAAGTCGTCCACTCGATGTCCCACCCTCCTCGGAGCCCGCAAATGGGGATGCCGCAATGGCACCAGGATCTTCTCGAGTGGATCTAGGAGCAGAAAGGTGGCGTCTTTGCGCGACATCGGGAGTTCGGACAACTGCGGCTAGAGAACTTCCACAGTGCCTTACCCCGTCAGCATGGCCGACTACCTTCTCCGAAGAGACCTTCCCACTCCTCGCCGTGCTCCTGTGACGGTAAAGCACTGGACCATTTCCCGAGCAGTGGCTGGCTGCTCAGGCGACCGTTTCGCCAGAAATATGGGCCAAAGGAGGCGTGTTGTCGCCCGGAGGTAACTGCTCCGACCTCCGATTGACTCAACCTCCCAGGATCCCGTCTTCCCCGCTTACGGCGCTCAACTGCGCAGGCCTTAGCGCAGGTAGGTGCAGGAAGCTATTTAAATTTAATAGTATATAGGTAAGTATATATAAGAAGGCTATAATTAGTTCTGGTGCTTGCCCAGGCACATTTTATTTATAAATACACTATTGATACAATATATATACATATGTGCTGCAGACTCACCTACTAGGTGCAGCTGATTGAAATAAATATGATAGTTTGAAAGAGAAGAAGGATATATTAATATAAATATGACACTACTTGTAAGTTATTTTATAATATACATACATATACTGTATACAAAGACCCTCGCTATTTATCCGGGCTTGGGACCGGCAACTTTGGAGGAGCGGATTTTGTGGTCCTCTCCAGCCGAAAGCAGGCTAGGTTTAACTTGTGTGTTGCTCAGAGACCAGTTCGGTTTAGATGTTCGAAGTGAAAAATACATATAAGTGAAAGAAGAAATTAATAGTCTCTCGTTATGCTGCCGTCCCGTAACAGGTGCTATGCCCGCCATATGTACTTGTTACTTATGTATAACGTGCATTATATTTATTTAAATAAATAAAGAAATCATACAAATAATGGATTCATCTGTCTTATTGCATCTTGTAGTTGCTTTAAAACTAAATATTTATATAAGCTTTAGTTAAAAATTATTAAGTATAAGGATCCAAAGTTACGTGTCAAAAATATATTAATAGTTAAAATATATCACGACGTCGCCTTAATATAAAAAAATTATCCACAGGTACGCATACTTGTACCTGGGCGACATGGTGTCGTCGTCGGGCTGCAGCGACTCGTACACGGAGGTGGTGCCGGTGCGCTCCGCCCGAGACCGCTCCGCCGTCTGCGGGGTGCTCGCCCTCCGCCTCGACGGCCTCCACCTCGTGCGGAAGTGTCTGCTGCTGTCCAACTCGGGGCGAGATTTCTCCAATAGCTTGCGGTGAGCCTTAAACATGCTCTTTCTCACTCTCTCTCTCTCTGATTCCCCCGCCGTATTATTTCATGTGCTCGCTTTCCGCTTCGACGGCCTCCACCTCGTGAGTAAATGTCTGCTGTTGTCCAACTCGCAACAGGATTTCTCCAACAGTTTGCGGTGGGCTTCATACATGCTCTCTCTCTCTCTCTCTAATTCCCCTGCCGTATACTTTCCTGTGCTTGCCCACCGCCTCAAAGGCCTCCACTTCGTGCGGAAGTGTTTGTTCCTGTCCAACTCACGGCGGAATTTCTCCAACAGTTTGCGGTGAACCTTAAACATCCCTTCTCCCTAATCCCCCTACAGGATCCTTTCCTGTGCTCGCCCTCTGCCTCGACGGCCTCCACCTCGTGCCACCTCCACCTTGACCTGACTTACTGGTAAACAGTTAACGAAGACGAGTTCGTCATTCCATTATAATCCATAAAAAACTGACTCCAAAACAACAAACTGACCAAACTACATAGACTAAAATTGACTACCGTCACATGTTATTCGGTTTGTCACACGATTGTCCATACGATAGCTATTACTCTTTTTTAATTATCGCATCGAGTGCTACACCCAGCCTTCTTTGGTAATCAGCCAATCAGAATAGATTATTCTGACGTGTAGACACAGTGTCTGTCCAGGCTTATAATGTGGTGACGTTCCCGTCACAAAATTAAAAAGTATAATAGTTCTAAATTCGAAATGAAGCTCGATCCCTGTAAATAGAGAACAATTTCGTAAATATTATACTAAAATAATGGCCGTTCTTTTAAAATGGCTCCAATTTCGAATAATTCAAATTTCGAACTTAAATATAGTATATAACATTTATAAAATATACATTTGTACCTTGTCACAGTAACAATTTATTGGTAATGTGAAAATACGTTAGGTGTCTCCAATAATTTCACTGCGACAAAGTACTAAGTGTAAACCATGCTGTGGCGAGTATTATGATGTATACCATTTTTTTAATGAATTTTAATGGAATATTGTATCCGCCTGCGCATTACGCTGACGGGGCACCAATGGAGGATGATAAGATGAGCATGAGGTCAGGTCAGATAGTGAAAATTCCAGGAATTCATCACTATGGTTTACAGGGGTAACCGCATGGAGGATAATCTGACATGGTACATTGCTAGCAATAGATTCAACAGTCCACATTACTAACAATACCCTTCCCTCTATACGGCCTGTACCTACATACCTACATATTAATAAGTTATTTCCGTTACAGGTCGCTATGACACTTATGGTCGCCATATTAAAACGCAAATTTAGAAGTTTAAAACAACGATGTGTAATGTGTAAAAATTAAAATTCTTATTTATTAAACTCATCCATTATAGATTTTTGTATTTTATATTAAAAAATAAATGTAAATGAATGTTAATTGTATTACTATCACCACGTCCCGACTTCGTCTTAATTGTACTATCATCTGCTGAAAAAAAGCTAGTAGGCTATATATAAGACGTATAACAAATATAACAAGATATTCTGTAAATTGGGCGAAATATACTGATAAATGTCAAGTAACTGTGATGCAGATGACGCTGTGCGGGGCAGCACTAGCTAAAAGATAAGATAAAAGATAAAAAAGGAAAGATATATAATATACTAATATAATATTAGTATATTATATATCTTTCCTTTTTTATTATATATCTTTTCTTTCCTTCCCTTTGATGGAGCGATATACTTGTCATTGCGGGCGAAAATCACCAAACAATGAAAGAAAACATCTATAAAAGAAATGATTATGATGACACAAAATTGCGATTTATTCTGCATGTGTTTAGATTACAACTTTTTCGAGAAGTATGAAAGTAACTGGGTGAAATAGTTATTACCATGCAGTTGAGCCGTCAGCGTTTCCCATTCCATTTACATTAATGTATGGCAGTAAAATTAAAAAGTGTTCAATTGACTCCAAAATATCAGTACAGATATAAAATTGGCATAAACGTACCTACAGCATCTAAAACCAGTAGTCCCGGTCAGAACTAACAGCCTTCTATAGTGGAATATAGATTATGATTATTTTTTTTTGTAACACAGTGGACAAATGAGTATGCGGCTCACCCGATGGTAAGTGATTACCGCCGCCCATGAGCACCCGTAACACCAAGGGAATTGTAATTACGTTATCGATCTTTTAAAAAGAAATAAGCTCTTTTCTTGAAAGGTTCAGTATTTAATTTTAAATCTTCTATTATTATGCAGTTGAGCCGTCAGCGTATCCCATTCTACTTACAATTAAAACAGAGTTAAATAAGCCAAAATATCAGTACAGATATAAAATTGGCATAAACGTACGTACAGCGTCTAGTACCAACCGATAGTCCCGGTCAGAACACGACGGGCCACGCACGCTCGTTCGCGAACCACACCGCTAGCCGATCCGAACCGTTTCGTAATACATTCAGTTATATTCCCAATCGACCCCATTTCCTATCACCAGTGACGGATTAAGACTACTTGATGCTCTAAGCAATCCACGCCTGTGGGTACCCCTATCCGTATGTCAACTAGAATCTGCCTTTAAACCTTTACTGCCAAAAACATCATCTCAGCCCGGAAGACGTCCACTGCTGGACACAGGTGTCCACCAAAGATGTCTAAAAATATTAGTTTTTTTGTAAAATAAGATGAGATGTAACGTACCATAGATGTGATTAGTGCGACAACAATAAAAACCAAAGCATAAATAATTTATTTATTGAAATGCGTTATGCTGCTTTTCCGGGCATCGAATTTATGCAAGATAGTATTCAAATCTAACGTTTTTAACATATATATGTATAATATCGATAAATTATTAAGCCATTATTGTGTCCCGTTTAATTTTTTAATATTTTAGCCTTTAATGGTGTGATTTTTGGTGACGTGGGATTGAGACGTGATGCCCTAAGGTCTGAATTTTTTGTGCTTCTGGTCCCTAACACAGACGTAATGCCCTAGGCGATTGCTTAATTTGATTAAAGTTTAATCCGTCACTGGCAATCACGTGTATATAATCCCGACCTGTACCATCGCACGTGTCCATTGTTTACACAGTGTCAGTGATGCGAAACGCGAATATTAAACTCATTTGTATACGAAATATCGATGTTTTTTAATCTGTATGTCGATAAGCTATGTATATATGCACACACTGCACAGGATATTGTTAAACTATACTAAAGTATTTAAAGTTAAACGGTAACGAATTTAAAAGGAGGTTGAATGGAAATTAAATATCTAACCTCTTTATTTATAAAAACTGAAATTTGCTAGAATAACAATATTCTAGTCACATCATTTAATAAAAAAAAAAGAATGAAATAGTTTAATTAACTTAAATAGGTTTATTATGCAATGGATGTTTTTATAAATGGAAAGGCAACATTTTAAATGTCTCGCAGAATTAAATTTTATTACATTTTTTACATACAAGAGAAATACTTGTATATTTTATTTACAGGGTTGGTAGGAAAGGGTATATGTAATGTAACGAAATGTAGTGGTAATATTTATAAAATTGATTATTTCCCCAAAAATACTCCAAAATAAAAAGCAATCCAATTAAGAGTATATGATATCTTTATCTTACTACATTATTATAACTTTTTATTTAACAATACTTTTTAAATTTGATTTTTTTTTCATGTTTAAGAGTATTCAAAGAATATTACCACTTGGTTTCGAGTATATACTAGTACATATACCACTACTGAAATCTACTCTGTAAATAAAACAATAATGTAATTTCAAACAAGATAATTCTATATTTACATTTCTATACAATTATCCTATGTATTACAATATTCTATATAAATATTCTTAACCAAACCACTTCAAAATCTAATAATTCAAATATGTACTTACTTTCATTTCTAAATTATTCGTTAATTACACAATTTTTCGGTATGACTTAGGTATAATGTATAGGTACAGTTGAGTCTACATACCTAATAAAATGATTCTTGTATTCTTAGTAGTAGCTAGGTTCGTTGGTAGTAGAGCACTTACAGAAGAAACTAACCCTTTTTATACATCGATTATACTAAGCGTAGCAATCAAGCATACGGCCCATCTGATTTTCTATTCTATTCTGATGATAAGATGGATCCTACTGGAAGTCGACACTCAGTTGCAGATTCCTTCAACAGAACTTGTCTGGTCTCCTTCTGCCTTATTTTCTTTATTATAATTTTCCCCCTAATGATGTTTGCTGTAGCTGGCCTTTACAGCTTTACGACGAAAATGAGAGCGAGTGCAGAGAGTTTTCTCCCGTAGAAGGACTTACGGAGCGGCTGGAGGCCAACTCCTGCCTGACAGACACGACTTTACTCTGAGGACACCAGTATGGGTTCGAACCCCGACTCAGCCCATCGTATCTTCAATCGCCTTTTGCAGAACATCATATTCTTCTTTCTGCATTTTAAATCGTAACTTTACGTCTTATAATCTCTAATACTTCAATTCGGACATTGATTTTTTTATAATATTTACATAACTACAAGCTTCGGCTACCCCGACTTCGGATGTACATGTATTATACATATAAACCTTCTTCTCGAATCAATCTATCTATTAAATAAAATCGCTTCAAAATTCGTTGTGTAGTTTTAAAGATTTAAGCAAGACAGTTTAAGTGACAGACAGCAACATCCACTGTTTTATATTATGTAATGATACAATAAAATGAAGCCTCTTCTGCTGTCTGTTCGCTGAGATCTTTTAAACTACGCAACGGATTTTAATGCAGTTTTTAGTAATAGATAGAGTGATTCGAGAGGAAGGTTTATATGTGTAATACAGCCGTGCGAAGCCAAGGCGGGTAGCTAGTGTTTTATAAATTATCTGTGGTAAAGATTAATCGGTCAATCAATCTGCCGAATGCATAGGCGCTAAGCGTCCTTGCCCCAGTGCCGTGCCAGAGACGTGGACGCATTTAGACCGGCCTATCCGGCTTGTCCGTCAAACAAACTT